ATAACCAATACCGCACATAGACTAAGGCTATCCCTCACCCATTCTTTCTTCAAAAGATAATGTATTTGACGTTGTAACTTCTTAGTCTCTTTAGGTCCCATTCGATAAGCCAACTTGTTAGGAAGTGGTGCTCCAAGAATCAGGTTGATTTGATGTTCAATACCTCGAATGGGAGGAAGACCATCTGGAATGTCTTTAGGAAAGATATTTTCAAATTCCTATAAGAGCGATGTGACACTTGGGGCAACGTGTCAGTAAGTTCAGGAGAAATAATCTCTACAAAATAAGATAAACAATAGCTGATTGGATTATAAAATGCGTTTAACATCTCAAGCCTTGGCAATCAATGCATGTTTTTGCTCCTTTTTACCACTCACCTCAGCCTCTATTTTGTCCCCTTTAAACTGCCCCTTCTTAACCATTCCTTGATTAGAGTTTTTATCACCCTTAATTCGACCCTTTCTAGGAAGTTCACTCTTGTTCTCGTGTTGTAATCGTATTTGGTCCTCATGTACCTGTCTAGGTGTTAGTGGAACAAGTGTAATCTTTTTATGATTATGCAAGGAAGAATACTTGTTAGAATAACCATCTAATATTACCCTTTTATCGAACTACCATGGGTGGCCAAGTAAGACGTGACTTGCTTGCATTGGGACAACATCATAAGTTACATCATCCTCATAGCATCCTATGCAAAACGGCACCTTTACTTGTTTGTACACACGGACATCTCTTCCCTCGTTCAACCATTGGAATCAATATAGTTTAGGATGCCTAGTGGTCAGCAAACCTAGCTTTTCTATCATAAGTAGACTAGTGACATTAGCACAATTACAACTATCAATAATGAGACTACGTACATTGTCCCTGATATGACATCTAGTGTAGAAGATGTTCTCCCGTTGTGCATCGTCGTCATCCTTTGCATGAGTTGTCAATGCTTTACGAGCTACCAGGCATCCGAATTCCTCATTCATAAGAATTTCTTCTTTCTCATCGTCCTTTTCAATCAACTCTAGCATGTTCTCGTACTCCTTTTCATCGTCGGTTACAACTTTACCATTAGGCAAGAGTACCATCAGTTGATGATTAGGACATTGTGCAATAGTGTGGTTGAACCCTTGATATTTGAAGCACTTTATCTCTTGATTCCGTGGCTTTGAAAACTCTCGGCCAGCTTTGGAGTCACCATTACGAGTTGTCTTCAACTCGGCTTTAGGGTTAGCTTTGGTTTGGTCTCCTTTCGATTTATTGGAGTTAAATGGTGCCGAGACCCTTATTCCCTCTTTGGTGGCTGATTTTTCCAATTTGCAGTTTGGTTGGTGTAGTTGGGACGAGTATTACCCTTCCTCTTAAGACTTCTCTCCATCTTCACTGCTTTGTCCAACATTTCCCTAATATCTAGGTAGCGCTGAAGCTTTACCACTTTGGCTATTTCAGGATGTAGACCATTCAAGAATCGAGCCATCATAGCCTTTTTGTCTTCCTGTATGTTCGCCCTCAACATGGCCATCTCCATGTTTTTGTAGTAGTCCTCAACTGTCAGGTTACCTTGAGCAAGAGTCTGTAACTTTTGATGTAAATCCCTATGATAGTAATCAGGGATAAAGCATTTATGCATAAGACCTTTTAACTCTTCCCACATCTCTACCGGAAGTTGTCGATTTTTCCTCCTACTGGTACGCATTTGATCCCACCAAACCATTGCATAATCCGTGAACTCAATTGCGGCCAACTTCACTTGCTACTCTTCAGTATAATTGTTGCACTCAAAAATCATTTTAACCTTACGCTCCCATTTCAAGTAAGCCTCTGGATCAGACTTGCCTTTGAAGGATGGCATCTTCATCTTGATGCCCTTGATCGGATCATTATTCTTGCACAGATTCCTTCTCTCGAAGGGCGGCTGATCCTCTAGGTCATCTTCATCTTCTTTGGAAGCTTCAGACTCATTCTTCTGGGTTTGTCTCCTAAGAGTTCGACTGTATGCAGTGGAGTTCTTAAGTTGGTCAATTTGTTCATGTATTGGTTCAAGTGAACGAGTTAATATCATTTGAAACTCCCCAATTAAGGCTTCATTATGGAGCTTAGGGCCAAAAGGTGAACATTCTCCTTCTTGAGACATTCTCGTGAACTTGTAAAAATGGTTGTACGAACAAGAGTATAATTCCTCACAAGCACTCCCTCACGTGTATCACTCACCCTCATGTATATCACTCAACAAAATAGTCCACTCTAATGCTCTTACCAACAATTCCGTTGCCCTTTACTTGCTCAACTGGAACGACTTAGAGTAATCCTCTAGGTAACTCAGCTTACCAAGTGATCTTTTAAAATTACAACGTGGTCCCAACTAAAGAATGACACAAGTTGGACACAAGAAAAATGAAACGGGAAAACTCAGGAAATGACCTTTAAGAATGCTGGAAATTTCAAATGGAATATACGTAACACAATTCAAGTAGTTCGCTCAGACATTTTTGATGAATGGAGCCCAACTATTCCTAAATTGCAAGTTGTTGATTTTGGTATTTGGAGTAAGTAAAATTCTGTTCTGCTGCCTTTTTGATGGTGGAACAAGGAGTTATCACTGGTTATTGGTTTGTTTCCAAAGGAAATTTGGATTGCAAGTATCGGGTTGGAAGCTCACACAAGAATCCGAATGGAATTTGGAAACTAGTACGCAGCTCTTTCTTTCTTTTTATTTTAACACTTGCATACTGCCTTTTTTTTTCATTTTCCACATAGATTCGGCTCTTTGGGTGGAAGAAGAAAATTTTGTTTCGGCTTCAAGGCTGAGGTTCAATGCAAGATTCAGTTTTGATGTTCAAGAAGTAGAAAACCGAATTCAAGGTCTTTAGTTTCACCAATCAAGGCTTCAAGATTTACTTTTTTTTTCTTCAACAAACTCAAGAAACCTTCAAATCGAGGTCCAAGAAACTCAAGAGCTTCACGGGTCTAGCTCAAGAATTTCAAGAACTTGCTGGAAAATTCAGGCAGCAGGATTTTCTCAAATTAAACCTCCAAGAACTTCGAGAATCAATGGAAAATAACAACTAAACAATTCAAGAGTTCAAGAAACGCCCATAGAAGAAACGACTTGACTCAACAACGCAAATTCCTCAAGAAACCTAAGGATAATGTTGGATTCCTTCAAGAACTCACAAGAACATGTTTTTGGTGTTGCTTTTTTTTTTTTTTTTTACTGAAAACTGACCCCACAATCAAGAAACAACAATAACGCAAAATTTAGGAACACAAACGGGATGAAAAAGCATAAGATATAATTCGGACAGCACTTAAAGAAACTAAACACTAATTTTGGTCACAACAGGAACAACCTGGAACAACCTAATGATTGGGGATTTTTTTCTTCGAATTTTGCTGGATTATTTCATGACCAGGTGACACAAGATAATAGCAAGAATTGACAAGATAATCTGGACAAAATGAAGGAAAATAACGGCTGGAAGCTTTAGGCAGACTGCAACAAGCCAAATAGAAAACAATGAACACAATGACTCAAGTGTAAACCCTAGCGGCTAGAGACTTTTCGTTGAATATTTTTTTTGGAAGAAGACATGATTAACCAACAGCAATAGATGCCAAAATTCTGAACTAAAACACAAGGAAACAAGAGAAACAAAGTACGGATAGATTACTCAAGAAACAACACAATGTAACAAAGAAACCCTAAACTAGAACAAGGATATACGATGATACCTTTTTCAACCAACTCTGATACCAGCTGATACGACCTGTGTTCTATTCCACACGCAATTCGTAACACACAAGCTCTGGATCTAGAATTTGTTGGTATTAAGATTGGTAAACGAACAATGGAAACTAAATTCGTGCATGGACAACTCAAAAATGAATCGAGTTGGGTAGACAATGGCACAATCTAGTGCGATTCTAGGTTGATAAATTAGTGATTATCTTAGCGAATCCTCCCTAAGATGGTCATGTTTGCTTTCGAGAGCAAAGGAATGGTTCACTCAAGAAACGATATTGATTTCTCAAAGTTCTAAAATCTTTCTTCTACAACGACGGAACAAAGAATATAAAAGCTACCATGGGCCAGACCAACACTAATTAATTCCATAATCTAGATCAGTCCATAATCAACATGGTTTAATCGATGTTATTTTGGACTAACATACTCCTAAACATGACTACTTGAGTCCCAACTTTCTAACGAAACATACTAAACTAATGACTAAAGAAACTTCAGACCGAGCCCTAGACACATGTCTCATCTTGGGCTAATAGATTGTCTCGACCATCTTGAACTTGAATCAACATCACGGTCCTTTGTAAAACTTCATGGCTGAGCGCCTCAGTGGCTGTATAGTCTTGCTCTTGATCTTTGTATTGTGCACACAAAAGCTTGAAGAGACTCTTTGAATCCTTTAGCTCTAACTCTTGTCACCGAACCTCGCTGGATTAACACTTGTAGACGTTACTCCTTGACCTTGACCCGCATCAACATGTTTTGTGTATTAAAGAATCAAGGTTAAGATCACTGGACACGATAGTCAAACACCTTCAATGAATCCGTTCAATCCAATTTATACATAATATGTGTGTGTGCATATATATATAATTTTAAACTCTGTAAATAAGAGAGGGATGACAACTCTAAATTTTATTAAATGAAAAAAAATTACAATATAGAGATATAAACCAAACCTCTAGTATATGAATGCTAGCTTCCAAAGTAAAAGGCTCCAAAAAAAGACAAAATTTGTCGTGTTATATATCTCTAATCTTTGTTCGTTATAGTCAGTTTTATTTTGAATAATAAAGTATTGTAATTTACACGGTCAGTTTTGAATAAATAACAATTATGCAAATTTTGAATTTAAAAGCTAACTTTTGCAAGTATTATGGATTCAACGGTGACAATGTGTATATTATTAGTGCACATATCAAATTTACTCATTCTTTAAATCAATAATTTTGTCACTAATTATGCTGTGCCCTGAATAATTCAACATCGACCATCACAATAATTTACAATTTGGCTGGGCATAACTGGGCAATGGGCATATATTCACCGTACATGGCGCGGAGTTTCTCTCCTTGTCTCCTTCAAAGCTGCTAAGAGCTTTTAGTTGGACTAAAAGACAGTCGGAGACGACTTCCGGTCCATCGCTCTGCCACCTCCGCCGCCACTGCCACAATTAAGTTGATTTGAATTATCCGAACTGTGTTTTTCTAACTACCATTGACCACACGGTCCGGACTTCTCTCTCATCGAGATCACTCTCCTTCAAATCAGCCTCTTGGCAGCAACCTCAGGTTCGTTCATGTATGTGTGTAATTATGTAACATGACTATCAATATTAGGTTTTTATTTTTTGGAAGGAAATTGGGTTGAAAATTGAGTATGGGACCGCTTTCAATTTTTTAGGTTTTATTGAATTACTGGGTGAGTTGAATTGTTGTCAAGGAGGAAGCTTTTCTGCGCATAATGATTTCTATTGTGTAAAGGTTATGTTTTTTTTTTCTTCGAAAACTTCATTTGTTGATGCTGTATTTGGAAATTTTTAGCTTGATTGGGTTAGGTTAGGGGAACTTTTTTAGGTGAGTTGAGGAGTTAGAAAATGGATATGGATTGTATATTAGTCATTTGGAGTTACCAAATGATATAGTGTAGGGCGAAAAGTTCTACCATTAGTTTGGATTGTGTAAACTTTTTTAAACATTGTTACAAGGGAACGAAAAATATGTCTTGAACATCAGTATATGTACTAATTAACCCGAGGTGATTTAAAAACTCTGGAATTGAAATTTTTGGTGTCAAATGGTATGATAATATTTGCATTGAATAGCTTTCAGGAAATTTTTTATGATGGAATTTTTTCTTTGAAGGAAAACAATAATGAATTGAATTAGATGGCGGACAAATATATGATTGTATTGATAGAGGGGTTGGTTTTAGTTGGCACTTGCTTATAGCACCATTGTTCTGTAGTTTTCTAGACAGGGTAGACCATACTGCCATTTTGTGTCATCACGTTATTTTATACCACCCTAAATATGGAGAGATGCTCAGGAAATATAAGTTAAACTACGTAAATATGAACTTATTCTTTTAAGAGTTCCAGAGGGAGAAGATTAATTCCTTTCCTTGTGGGAGATTACTGTAAAGGATTATGCAAAATGATGCTTGAACTGTAAAGCGTGCTTTACATGGAAACTCACTGAATTTGTAACACTTTGGGAAATTCTAGACAAAAAAAGAAAACAAAATCCTCATCCTGCATAGTAGAGTGCAAACTCAAATTCTGAAATGGTATAAACGCTAGCAGTCTCAATTTACAATAAATGCAATTCACTTACTTGTACTGCTTTCTTCTCCGAAGAAAGTCACTATATTGACATGAAAAAGTAATCCATTTGTTTGATTGGTAATATATTTTCACGTGATTGAAAATAGACGGAAAATCAAAGCACGCTCATCTGCATAAACATTCATGCATATATGGTGTGCCTTGAGGGGAATAGCAAAATCTTTCATACTGTCCTTGATATCTTTTCATTCTTTCCATTATATTTTATTTATAAATTTGTGCTTCCTTTTTCGCTAGCAAATCCTTACCACACCTACATTTCTGATTTCAGGCTCCCAATCCTGCTTGCCCTCAATACTAGCCAAACTTCTACCCATTTTGGTACTTCCACAGCTCTCTCATTGTTGCTTTCCCGGCTAAAAGCTGTTTTGAGGTGCTTTCAATTGGTTAGAGCTTTTAATTTTAGCTTACTTCAAGTTAAAGAAAAATTGATTCTCATGGTGTTTATTACAGCTTTTAACTTTTTGAAAGATTTAAAAGAATAAAATGTTCTTGCAATTACACAGATAATCAGTAATTTGCTTTAAAAAGAAAAAGCTGTCCGTAACAAAGCATGAAAATGAGGTTGTCACTGTGAAACCTTCTTGTCATGATATTTGATATTAATTTTTGTAATCAATTACACAAACTTGTTAATCTAATAATTGTTGTATTGCCTTGGAGTCCCATTTGACATTCCCTGGTTATACAATTCCTTTTCTCATATTTATTTGTAAAATTTGCAACTGATGTTTCAAGGATGGATCTCACATTGATGAGAATTAAAAATTTTGTGAATACCTGGTGATGCTTAGTTGATTTGTTGCATGTTTTGATGTTTACTGTGAAAACTCTCAATGAAAGACTCGGTTCATTTTGCACTTTAATTTGACACTGCATGGCATTTACAGGTAGAAGTTACCATGGTGGGAGTAATACAAAAATTTGTTATTGCGTCTATGTTTATGTGGGCTGCTCCTGTTGCTATTTTATATGGTTTCAACCATAATTTGTTTCCTGGTAAGTGGTTCTTAGCAGCTTCATGCTTCTTTTATCTTTAGCCATTTTCTATTTGCAGACTTGCTGAAAATAGCTGCTTTTGACTGCTTATAGTGTGAAAACATTGATAAGTGTCGGTCTAGATTTTTCCCACAATCTGTCCTTGAAAGAGGCATTTTATAAAGCTTGATTTCTATGGGCTATGAAGTTTTTGGGCTTTGAAAATGCCAGTTATTCAGAGATATGTCAACTAAAAAACTGAAGACAACCTGCTTTTTTTCATCTAAGTGTAAATTTTATTACTATGGAATTCAGTGGTGCATCTTTGGCAGAAGGAGTACATGTCTGTCACTTGTGACAAGGGCACTTTATCCCTGCTAGAAAAATAGGTGTTTAACAGCCAGAAAGTGTTATCATTGAATTGAAGTGACAAAGGCAGAGCTTTTCTCAATGTGCTAAGATTTAGTACTTGTTTGATCTGGGACCTACAGAATTTTAACTTCATTAGTTTTTCGTGGAGGAAATCAAATCAGTTAGAAAAATGAACTGTTATAAGACAGAAAAAGGTTGTGCCTATTTGTAAAGGAGGGAGGTAGAATGTTATATTTATACCGTTAAGTATTATAGGTAATGATCTGTGCTTTCACGAGTTCACTGGTAATGTAGTATCCTGTGAAGGATTTGGCTGGTCAATTTTTGGTGACTGTCATGTTACTGGAATTGCTATGAAATGTAAGGCCATGGGAAGTGGGGAGAATTGAATGCTTGTCCTTTGGCTATGCTGCACGGTGATAATATTAGTCAAGTCTGTTTTACAGCTTCTATCTAGGAGAGGCTAAATGGTGATGGTTTTAGGTTAGTATTTCTTATTGAGGGCGTCCTTGATCTGTTCTTGCTACATGTAGTTTGACATTGATGTTCGTTACAGGTAGGTAATATTTCAAAATTAAATTTCTTAATTACCGACTGTATGTCCTGCTGTTGAGAAGTGGCATTAGTTTTACTGTGGGGGTGGGCTATGGTATATTTTGATGGAGGCAGTACAGCCTAAATTTTCCCTTTGCCCCTTTGCTTGAGGATTTGTGTTTGTTTTTCCAACCTTTTGGTTTCCCTTTCCTTGAGGGGGATTCATTTAGGGGAAAGAATGTAATGCAACATGGTTCATAAATCATTGCTGCTGTCATAATTCTCTGTCCTTACTTGAAATTCTTTGAAAGATGTTAAATATGACGGAACATATGTGAACATCTGAGGCACTGATTCTACATTGAAGTCTAATATTTTGATCCATATTTGTCTAAGTTTTAGCCTCTGATCCTTCATGGTTGTCCTCTTTTCTTTCGCAGTTTAGGATTATCTGTTCATTGTTGGAGGCCGTTTAGATAGTTTTAAGTAGAGTCTTAGCTGTTATTATATACAAATGTGTGCATTGTGGTTGCATTTATATTTTTGTCTCGCTTGGACCACTATTAAATGATTTGTCATTTAGCTACTTAACCTCCTGAAAACTCAGCATAGATTATGCCCTTTACATTCTGGCCTTCTGGTCACATTCAGTATCATTGTTGCTGTGATTATAAGCCATTTTTAACTAACATGTCCACTTTTTAATAGGTTCTACTCAATTGTCTCCTTATTCTCTTACATTGTTGAGCGGTTTCCTGGCTGTCGTATCTGTCAATGTGATTATTGCATTCTACATTTATATGGCAATGAAGGAACCATCACATAAGCATGAGCCAGATCCTAAATTCCTTGCAGAGGCTAAGGCTAGTATTCGGCACTCTGAATCTACTGAACCTGAGGATTCATCGAATACACGGACGAAACAAGAGTAGCTCTATCTGGTTGCAGCCTCTCAGCTGCTGGATTGCATTAAAAAGAAAATGTGCCAGTACATTGACTTCCTAATTGCGTGCTCATGCGACATTTTATTGTTCCCTAGTCAATGTTTTGCTATAGTGCTGGAGACTGTGTTGGCAAATATTCGCAAGGTGACAACAGTAGAACTGTAGAACTGAACTACACTGTAATTTTTTAGAGGGCTGATAGTCCATTGATTCCATCAGCTTTTTTTATTCACTGTTTTTTACTTTTTGTCACTTCCGTTCTTCAATGTCCAGGGGATCATAGCTTTTGAATCTTCAGAGACAGGAGTATTTGAGTTGTGGGTTGGATTTTGGAGCCTCTTTGTGTTGATATGAAGCTTTCCAAATTCACTGTATCGTATAGTATACTTTAACCGTGAGCATAGTGGATCTTCAAAGAATGAAACGTATGGAGTACAAAGGAATAGCGACAAATTCCTCAACATTTGTAACTACCCAATTTTAACCTGGTACAAAGGAATTTTGGAGGTCCACATGAAATAATTGCTTCCACATTTGATGAATAAGCAATTAGCCAACAGGATTTGAGCGGCATGCAGAAAGTGTAAAGTTTGAAGCAACAAGTATTGCTTTATCAAATTAAGTTTTGGCCGCATGGTTTTCGGTTGTAGAAAATCAAATGGAGGAAAACAAACGAATTTCAGAAAGTTAGAAGGAAATTACTTTTTTATTTATTTATTTCTGTGTTTGTTACAAGAAAAACATTTAAAAAGTGTAAAAGAACCAAAATGATTCTTTACTTTTTACGCTCCTAGCTAGTGCATGAATTTCTTTTGGTATGAAGGAAACTTGTTTTCCCTTTTCTTGAGATACCTCTAGTACATCATTGGGGATGTCATTTTTTGTGTGATACCTGTAAGCTTTGATAAATTTATTGACACCCCAATTGACCTATTGCTAATTTGCCAGAAAACCCACAATTTTCATTCTTTGGAATTAAAATACAAATCCAAATTAGTCAAAAAAAAAAATTGATAACGACGAGTTGCAACCTTTTCGTAACCAATGGGGTTGGTTGAGTGGCCAGATGAAAGTTATTTAAGTTCTTTTTATTGTTAGATTTAGTCCAGTGATCAGACAGAGAGGGTTTTAAGTTCTCTTTGCTGTTAAATTTAGTGTTCGAATTTCGGAACTCGTAATTTAGGGGTGGAAAGTGTACATTTTTTTGTTTTTTGTCAGCAACGATACATTTGTATAATCTATTCTATCCTAATCTAGGGAGAGGGGGAGCCTAAGGAGGCTATTGTAGGGAGTAGTGGGTATACAGATCCAACTAGATCAAGAGAGTGTTATAACACAATTCTTAAATTATTTTCGCTGTTGGTGAGGTTTGAACCGTCACCAGCAGTCCAAAGAGGGACTTAAGTCGGGTGGGCAGTGTACATGCGGGGAAAGCTTTCCCTGGTTCCCCGCAGTGGACTAGAAAATGCTACTCACTCAATAAACTCTTTTAGCCATAAATTGCGTCCAATTCTTTAAACCCAAAACCCGTCAAAGCAAACTAACTATGAAACTGCCCATAGCTTTAAACAGAAGCGCTAACCGACTCTTCACTTCCCAAGCCCCACCTTTTTTCTTCCGTCCTTTGATCTCCTTTCCTCTATTGAGAATATCCCCAATTCGCCCCAACACTGCAAATTCCTCCTTGAAATTCTCTTCCTTCAAATCCACCGGACCGTTTCTTCGATTTTACAATTCAACAATGGCGATAACTACTGCTACTACTACTACTGCATCGTCTCACCCGCCAATTCAGGTCAGAGACCACATCGAATTAACCCCAAAGGAGAAGGAAATTTTTTATCGGCTTCTTCAAGTTATCCGCCATTTTGATCTCGAAACTGAACTCCGTGTTGCCGGTGGCTGGGTTCGTGATAAGGTAAGTTGTTTCTGGCGAAATGCTATTTGTTTTCGCCTTTTTATTGAGGTTGTGGATAGTTAATTTTTTTTTTCGGTGAATGCTATTGATTTTCCTCCTTTTCATTGCGATTTTTGGTAGTTATCTCTCTCTCTCGTTCAGTTTACCATAATTTCCTAATCTGTTTTCGGTTGGGGGCATATGAGATTTTCTGGAGGAAAATTGGGCGAAATTAGAACTAAAATTATTCACCGAAGATAAGGAGATAGATTTAACTTTTGACGAGAAGCCTGAATATTAATTTATTGGTGTCTTTTAGTATTAGCAAAGGATATCTACATTAGATGCCGCAATAGTTTAAAGTTGACCTCCTTTTTTTCCTGCTTTGTAAATTTTACATTTTCTGTAGATTTTGGGGGTTGGTTTTTTCTCTTTTAAGCTTGCATCATTTGATGGTGGACTGAAATGTGTTGGCTCTCTATTAAACCTTGTTGAACAAATTCATCAGTTGATATAAATTGAATTTATCATATAAAACACATTTATTTTTCTGATGACTTGACACATTTCTGAATATCATTGATGCAGCTTCTTGGTAAAGATAGTGATGATATCGATATTGCTATTGACACTATGTCGGGAAGAGAGTTTTGTGAAAAAATCAATGAGTACTTGTCATATACTGGTGAGGAAACTCCAGGAATTGGTCTTATTCAGTGGTACGTGATTTGATTTGTTTCTCCATCCTTATTGTAATGCATACTTTCTTTGCATGTAAATTTTAGCGAGGAACTTACCAAAATTTGGTAGTCAAGTTTAAAATGAATTAGCTTGTTGACTAAAATTGCAGTAAACGGTGCAAGGGGCAGCAAATTGGGAAGTCTTACGGGCTATGTAAAATGTTCTAGCTATTGTATCTTGTAGTATTATGTGATAGAAACACGTGTCATCACTTGGAGATACTGGATATACAAAGATGCCAGGCCGGACAGATGAATAGACCTGTAAAATTTGAACAAAATCCCTTCAAATGAACACCAGTAGAGCAACTTTAGAGGTCTTCCAAAGAAACTTCAATCACATTACTGCTTCAAAATATAAGTTTATATGGATGCGGAAACAATGAAAATTGGGAGGAGGGGAAAAGAAGCAGAAAAGATGAGGCAAAAATAAGCTGGGAGAAAACTAAGCGAAGGGCTAATAGTCATAATAATTCGAAAGCAACAATGGGGTTGGAGGAAGTAGAGATGGTACAAAGAAGCAAATTTCGACTTTGAAATCTTGGTGAGGAGGAGTGGAGGGCTGTGAAGATGAGGGGAAATGTTTATCTAATTGGATGTAGATCATGTTTACGTATAGGCATGTTATTGAATCTGAATAAGATCAGATGTAAGCTACAATCTTAGCTTGTATAATTAAAAATTATTTACCAAACCAATTATTTTTATACAATTTTAGTTTCAAATGTGATTTCTTCTCTATGAATTCAGGTTTTATTTTTTTTTTTTCAATGCTATGTTAAGTTTCTTTAGCATTCAACATATCCCCTTTTCTGTATCCTGATTTCCTGACAGGTTGCATGCTGGCATTTTATAGCATATGCTAGTACATATTTGACATGTAATGATGCTGCTTTGTTTTTATGAATTTTAGCTAAATTTTGTGACAAGAAAAAGGAGGGATGAAAAAGGCATTTCACTCTTTGACTTGATAAGTAAGATGAGCAATGCTCTTTTTTTTTTTTTTTTCTTTTCTTTTCTTTTTTTCAATCATTGTTGTATTGAGTTTCTTCATTAGAATTTCCACTTTTTAGTACTATTTTGTACCGCCAGATATTTGTGTGTTCATATGTGTTAGGTGTTTATTACTTTGTGTACTTTTACATGTGTATCTTGTTCATGTGGGATTCTTCTTAGAGTTTATAGCTCGTTGCGGTTCTATTTTATTAATGTCTATCGAATATATGAGAAGGTTAGGGAGAACGAACCGAAAAATTCAAATTCGCAAGCACATTGTATTGGTATTTTGTGATTCATAATTATTACTTCTACTGAATTAACATCGACCAGTACCCGAATGACTCAATCTATGGTGAAACTGCAATACATACGTACACACAGATTGGGATGGAGCTTTCAATTGGGACCCTAATCAGAAACCACTTACATGTCAATTCTGGAACACCCTTTTACTTTTGGAGATTGTGCACAACTCAGCCTTAACTTCATAGAGCTATGAGAGATAACTGAGCTGTAAGCAGTTGGTGATCCTTAACAAAATTACTACTTTTATTGGTTTATGTAAAGGTAGAGTGCATTAGATATCTGGGTGGGCTGATTGTACATTTATAAGAATGGATACAAATTCCAAGGGCTGGTCTTCCTTGGTTTTGTCATGTACTCATCTAGAGCCAGATTTACTGGTCTATGTGACCGTGCAAACTTGACTTTACAGTTGTTAGATTGGGGTTTTTTTTTCATAATCTAATTGTCTATGGTACAGTTGTGAGTTTTTTGGGGCTAAAGTCTGTAATTGAGCTTTTATCAGATTAATTTCACATAAGAAATAATTTGCTTTTATAGTTGCTAATCCTTATCTCTAGCTGAAAATTCTTGAAAATGATAATAGCAGATTAGAATGTGTCATTTTGATGGTGAAATTGAAATAGAAATTTTCTGTTGTTGTTGCTGCAGCAATCCTGATCAGTCAAAACACTTGGAAACAGCTAGGATGCGCTTGTTTGATGTATGGATTGATTTTGTTAACTTAAGATCTGAAGACTATAGTGAGAGTAGCCGTATCCCAGTGATGGTAAGAACTGATACAGCAAAAAGGGTTGGCTTTAAGATTATGTTGGAGGCTTTACTCTGTAGATGTTTTGGAGAACTTGTTGAGATGACATCTCATGGACTGGACATGGTTGTCATGTATAGACTTCTTAACATGTATGAATTTGGTAACAATTATGATCCAGAAGTTAGGAATCTTTTATTCATACAATATTTTGGGGTCTTGGCACTAATTTGCAATCAATAGCTTCAATATTGAAAGTTTTCTTTGTCTTCTAAAATTCTGTTTTTCCAATCTTTGTGATCCTAGTTGTATTTTATTTTCTGCATGCAAGTCCTCACTCAGTCGCACATTATTGTACCTCCATGTTATTTATACTATTGTTTGCACCCCTACCAGTATGTTCCTTGTCAAGTCATAAAAGGTAAACCTTGAAATGGCAATTGAAGAAAGTCTGTGATTTGGTCACATTTATTGCAAGATTTTAGTTATTTACCTGTTATGAAGAAAATGAAGTTAAAAAGTGGAATCATTTTAATACTAGTAACTTTAGTGGCTTAAAAGGTCCCATCAAACCTAAGGGAAATCTTTCTTGAGAAATTTGCAGAAACTATACTGTAACAAGATATGAGACTATGGTTGAATCAAATTGTTTATTATGAGTAGTTTGGTAGGGCTAAAATTCTTCTCACTAATGCTTATCCTTAAATGAGTTTTGCTTTGCTAGTTTCATTGTGGTTCTGAGGGCAAAGGCCTACCATTTTGTTTTGGTGGGGTGTGGTTTTGTTTTTTTTTTTTTTTGGGGGGGGGGGGGGGATGGGGGATTTGTTAAGTGTGCCATGCATTTTGAGTTTCTATCTGCAGTATAACTATGAAATCTGCTTTTCCTAGAAACTCTTGTGTCGGGAAAGACTATTCAGTTAAGGATGTTGAAAACCTTTTGTTTCTTTTTCTGACCTCTTTTTATTTTGTTTTATTTTATATTATTTAGAGATTTGGTACTGCAAAGGAGGATGCATATCGTAGGGATTTAACCATTAACAGGTATTTGTCAGTGCGCATTTTTTTTGGTTATCGTTGTCTTCTAAAGTATGTCTATCCGTTAGAGAGGGCAAAATAACAGCTATCTGCTCCCTTTGTGCTGGATTTTTTTAATGCGTTTCTTGATTTTCTCTTCCTGTTCCTTTCTGCAATTTTTTTTGTCATTTTTCAAACTTAAAACTGAGGAAGCGCATTTGTCACTTGGTTTTTTTCTTTCTTTATGCTTCTGTTCTTTTATTAGGAAGGGATAACATTACTTTTTCTTGTAAATAAGTCAGATGAAACAGTGAAATTGACCTGTTTTTTCCCCTTTCATTGCCTTTCACTTACAATTTTGTTGCTACAGTTTGTTCTACAACATTAACAAAGATTCAGTGGAAGATTTGACTGAAAGAGGTAAATTGAATATATTTTACTGTCTTTTGCATTCTTTTTCTGTAAGATTTAGTTTCGTGCATCATTTTTTTGTCTGAAAAAGCTCTACTTTTTTTCAATTCAGGCATATCAGATCTTAAATCTGGAAAAATAGTGACTCCATTGCCTCCAAAGCAAACCTTTTTGGATGATCCACTGCGAGTTCTTCGAGCTATACGTTTTGGTAGCGACAGACTCTTGACTTCATTCTTTATTTACCTTCTTTCTTTTTGTCCCTCTTCTCTTCTTCCTGGTATTGAATGAGTTGGATGGATATATACCAGCGCTGAATAGATACTCATATTAGGCGTTGCACTTCAGAGATTGGAAACCTCTGAATCCCAGAACAGTAGAAGTTGGTTGGATGGGAAGGCGAGGTTTGGAAATTTGAGCATTTTCTGGGGTAATTGATAGGAAATTTGGAAGCCATGTCAGTTTGTAAAACTAGTTTTGGTGGTCAGGATAATCATACATTAGGTGCCATTGCAAGCTTAATCTTGATTTGAATACAATGGAAGAAAAGAAGTAGGTGAATGGATTATGTTTAGGATTGCGACTGTAGAGGAAGTCTAGGTTTATTATTTTGTTTATGTGTAAGGTATTTTAACTATGGGAATTTTTGAAGTATCCCATAGGCACGCTTCTGGAAAAAAGCAGTTATGAAATGCTTATGCAGATAAACATCATTAGTTGCTGTTTTATTAGTACGCCAGAATGTTTTGGTTTGAGGGAGAAAAGGCTGATGGCAGTAGAGTACTAGATTTTGAAGCCAGAAAATGATTCAGGCTTTTTTTCTGTAATTGTTGGAGCTGTTGACTAGAGTTTTTATCATACATGATAGAAATTGCATAAAGGCAGCAAAGTTTATTGCAAACTGTATTTTGATGGTACCAGATACTGAGGTTGCATTTCTTTGTCTGTATTCATCTAAATCTTTTGGAAAAGTTAATTGACTAGAATTCTCCAGACTAAGGAATCATATCCATTTCTGATTCATTGTCTCCTAAAAACAAATATATGCATTTGAAGGATAATAGTTATAGAACTTGCACTTGCTGTCTGCCTAGGTGTTAGGACTCATTGTGACAAAGATTTACCTATTTATAGACACCTAGGACTACCATGATCAGGGGAGTGCTTTTTTCTTCAAGGCTCAGACTGCAAGGCGTTACTCCTGCTTTATTGCAGATCTGTAATTTTCTCTATGTTTTAGGTTTTGTAGTTGGCTTTCTGTTTGACCATTACTTAATTTGAGGGGTGGAACATATCTGTCTTTATTGTCATAAAGTCATTTTCAGGACATCTTCCACCTTTTGATGATAATATAAGGTGATAAGACGTGTCATCTGTCATGGACAAAAGGTACTATTGTGAAAAGGGCATTGAAGTCTTTTTGATGAATTAATGTATTTAGTCATGCTCATATCTAATAGGAAATTTGTGATTTTCTATCTTGGCTGAGAGTTCTGAGAAGCTGTCATGGTAGAGTATGAGGTTTGGAAACCAAACTTCTTTGAGTACTCTTGCTAGTGTAGCTTTTTGCGGAACAGAGTTTAGCTTTATTTGGCATGCATTTAACAAATTGTACATTGAAAAACAGTAAAAAAGACAGGAATTTTGTAATGCTCTTCTTGACTTCCCAAGGTTTCTGATGAGTGTGAATCGTGAATGTCCGTAGAAATCATAAATACAGAATGACAATATAGTGAAAGGAAAAAATGATTTTGGTCATTTGTTGACTTGGGATTGTTAATAGACCAGAATTTGAAGGGTTTGGCTCCATGGAAATTGGTGTAAAAAAAATTTAATAAAAAGGACATGGTTAATTTATAGAGAAGACTAATTTTTGACAATGTTGGGAATGTTGTTGCTGTAGTGAGTTTGTGGAGTTGGATCTTGAGAATTTGGCCTCACAAACATTTGAACTAATATGGATCTGGCTATTTTATTGCACAATATTATTGTTAAGAGGAGATGTAGGTAATGGAATACATTAACTGCAAGTCGTGTCATGTGTAGTACACATGTGACTTGAAATCACCTAACAACTGTCTTATCCTTCTTTTTGTTCTTTGTCTTACTCTTGCTAGTCTTTTGAAGGATGGGTCTTGCTTTTGACAAGTCTGTCTGTACTGGTTTTTCTGATATCTGTGGATAATCCTATCAGAAAAAAGGTTCTTTCATGGTACCTCTAGTACTCTAGGAACTTTATCAAGAAGGAAGTGGATTAAATAGTCTAAATCTTGGTTCATTTACATCCTTCATGTTTGGTTACTGACCTCTAGTCTGGAATATGGTTCAGATGTGACTGGCGCTTTTCTCTTTGGAATGGTTTGTTATGCTTAATGAGAAAATGTTCTGTCTGTTTGTTTTGTTTAACTTGTCTGAAATTATAGTACTGAAAGCTAAGAATGTATGAGATTGTCAATATTTGTCAACTTCTGTTGTGAAGTACTTGTAATTGTTTGATGATTATTGAATAAATTTATGACAGAAGATTTTTTGGTTTAAAAATAGTTTGAGATTTGGATATTTGCTTGAGATTGATTTGTTGCAACTCCCATACTTGTCAGGATTTCTTTGCTTGCAAAAGGTTGAGGCATTATTAGTTAACAGACTGTTACATTGAGATCATGTTTCTTTGACCTAGGGGTTTTTGGAGATGTGTAACAGGGATCTTTTGAATGCTTCAAGTTGTCTTCTTAAATTGGTTTTCCAGATATTTATGGAGGCAACTAAGCCTTTTGGTTTTTGTTGAAGATATGTAAAGATTTGATATTGTAGATATTAGGAAAGATTAGATTTGATTTGTTTTAATTATAGTATCATATATTAATTAGGTAATAGATTGATTTAGATTAGCATGATTTTAGGATCTAAATTAGGTTATACTTGTGTGTATATTTGTACATTGTGTAGTCCAAAGATATGAAGAAGAGTATTTTCTCTCCCTTTCTTCTTAGTTTTTCATGGTATCAGAGCTTTAGGCTCTGTTAATAGTTTGTTTTTTGACGTGACTTTATTGAGTCACTTTTAGTTCTTTCTTGTGTGAATTATAATGGTAGGTATGAAAGGTAGTAATAGAGAGATGAAAACAGTAATTTCTGATGTTACAACATCAAAAATTACTGAACACAAATTGAGCGGAAAAATTTTTTTTGGATTGGAGTAAAATTATTCGGATATATTTGCGCAGCATCGACGGAGATGATCATCTCACTGATGACTCACCTGTTGATGGGGAAGAAAAGAAGGTTTTGGTTAAGGGAAGATGCAAAACTATTTTTGCAGATTCGAAACTCTATTGATAATGAGATAGTTAGTCTCATCAATCATTGTGAGTTTGTTAAAGATCTTATGGATTATTTGGCTTTCTTGTATTCTGGTAAAGGTAATTTAAATCGTATATATGATGTTTGCAAGGAATTTTACCGTCCGGAAAAACAGCAAAGATTCCTTATAGAATATTTTATGGATTTTAAACGTGTATGAGGAATTGAATTCTCTCCTTCCTTTTGCTACTGATGTAAAATCTCAACAATCTAAACGGGAACAAATGGCTGTAATGAGTTTTCTTGCAGGATTGCCAATTGAGTTTGATGCTGCTCGAACACAAATTCTCTCTAGCCCAGAGATTGTTTCCCTCCATGACACATTTACACGAGTGTTGAGAACCGAGGGATCTTTGTTTACTTGCAATGTTACTAGTGTTTTCGTGAGTCGAAATGGAGTTGGTCGAGGAAATAATGGTAGAAACAGTGCAAAAATGGGATTGGTGGGATTGCTGGTCATGGACAATATAACTCAAATCAATGAGTCTGTTGTCACTGTAAGAAATCAGGCCATACCATAGGTACGTGTTGGGACCTTCATAGTAGACCTCAACAACCGCCCCTGTTTGCAAATTTCGCAACCTAGGAAAACAATTATGTGCCTTCTGACAAATCCATACTCATCTCTGCTGATGAGTTTGCCCGCTTTACTGAGTTTCAGGCCTCACAAAAATCTGCTAATTCATCTTCTAGTACCAATCCTCCTCCTATTGATCATTCAGGTAAACCTACTACATGCCTTGTGTCATCTCCTAACAATTGGATCATCGATTCCGGTGCAACAGATCATATGACTGGTAATAAAGGTATTCTCTCCTCTTTTAATCCTAACAAAGATCATTCGAATGTTACTTTGGCTGATGGGTCATGTGCTTCAGTTGTGGGTTCTAGTGTAGCAATTTCTATGTCATCTATCCCCTTATATTCAGTTTTATGCTTACCTAATTTTTCTTTTAATCTACTCTCAGTTAGTTAAATTACAAAAGCCCTCAAGTGCTCTGTCTCATTCTTTCCTGAATATTGTGTTTTTCAGGATCTTATGACGGGGAAAATTATTGGTAAAGGACGTGAGTCTGGCAGCTTGTATACACTTGAAATCCCTTCATTGAAAATGCCGAAACCTGTTGCATGTTCTTCCACCTTGACTCCGCTTGAAATTCACTGCCACTTGGGTTATCCATCTCTAACCACCTTGAACAAGTTGTGTCCAAATTTTCAGAATTTATCCTATTTAGATTGTGAGTTATGTCAATTTGCCAAACATCATCGTTTGCCTTGCCTAGAGTCAATAAACGGGCCTCATCCCCTTTTGAATTAGTGCACTCTGATATATGGAGCTTTTGTCCAGTAGCATCTAAGTCTGATTTTAAGTATTTTGTCACCTTTGTTGATGGCTACTCTTGTGTTACTTGGTTATATTTAATAATAAGTCATTCGGATTTATTTAATATATTTTGTTCCTTTTGTACTGAAATAAAAACACAATTCAATGTGCCTGTCCGCATTTTGCGAAGTGATAATGCAAAAGAGTATTTTTCTAGACCCTTTAATTCGTATATGTTAGAAAATGGAATCCTTCACCAATCTTCATGTCTTGACACCACCACAAAATGGTGTTGCTGAAAGGAAAAATAGGCACTTATTAGAAGTTACTAGAGCCCTTCTATTTCATATGAAAGTTCCCAAGCAATTTTGGGCAGATGCTGTTTCAACAGCCTATTTCTTAATTAATCGCATGCCATCTTCTGTGCTTGTTGGTGAGATTTTTTATTCAATTTTGTTTCCAACCCAATCTTTATTCCCCATTGAGCCACATATATTTGGGTGTACTTGTTTTGTTCGTGATACCCGTCCTCAGGTGTCTAAATTAGATTCTAAATCTCTGAAGTGTGTGTTTTTGGGTTATTCATGTCTTCAAAAAGGGTATAGATGTTATTCTCCAAGTTTAGATCGTTATTTAGTCTCTGCTAATGTTACATTTTATGAGATACATCCATTTTTTCTTGAGTCTAATGTGTATAGTAGTCAGGGGAAGGCAGATGATATTCTAGTCTACACTGTTACCACAACTGTTCCTACAAGACCACCGATCACTTAAGTGTATTCTCGTCATTCTCAACACATAGACTCACATCCTCCACCACTTTCTCTGTCTACAAATTCGAGTCCTGGTCCATCCCTTCCTCAGTCTCTAGATTCTAGTCTTGGATATACCTATTGTTTTAAGAAAAGGTAAAAGACAGTGCATTTACCCAGTTTCATCATTTGCTTCATATGACCATTTGTCTCCCTCCTTGCGTTGTTTTACTGCTTCCTTAAATTCAATATCTCTTCCTCACTGCTTATCTGAGGCTTTGGAACATCCTGGTTGGCGGGCTGCTATGGAGGAAGAAATGATAGCCCTAGACAATAATGGTGCCTGGGACTTTGTTCATCTACCAATAGATAGGTTTGTAAATGAGTGTTTGCTGTTAAAGTCAATCCTAATGGTTCTGTTGCTCGTCTCAAAGCCGGTCTTATTGCAAAAGGGTATGCTCGAACATATGGGGTGGATTACTCAGACACGTTTTTTCCCGTAGCAAAACTCACATCTGTTCGATTATTTTCCTTGCTGCTACTAATAATTGGTTTTTGTACCTGTTAGATGTTAAGAATGTATTTCTTCATGGGGATTTGCAAGAGGAAGTTTATATGGAGCAACCACCTGGATTTGTTGCTTAGGGGAAGTCTGGTAAGGTTTGTAGACTATGAAAGTCATTATATGGTTTAAACAGAGTCCTCGTGCTTGGTTTGGAAGATTCAGTGAGGTGGTTCAAGAGTTTGGCATGAAGAAGTGTAATTTTGGTCATTTTGTCTTTTATCAACAATCTGAAGTTGGTATCATCTTATTAGTGGTTTATGTTGATGATATTGTTATTACTAGTAGTAACAATGCAGCCATTGCAGCTCTTAAAAATTTTCTTCAATCGCGCTTCCAGACAAAAGATTCGGATATGTTGAAATACTTTTTAGGCATTGAGGTTGCAAGATCTAAACAAAGTATCTTTTTATGCCAAAGGAAGTATGTCCTTGATCTTTTGAAAGCAATAGGAAAGCTAGGTGCTAAGCCATGCAGTGCACCAATGATCCCCAACATGCAACTTACAGCAGATGATGGGGAGTTATTCTCATATCCTGAAATGTATCGGAAATTAGTAGGGAAGTTGAATTATCTTACTGTGACTCGTCCAGATATTGCATATCCGGTTAGTATTGTGAGTCAATTTATTTCCTCACAAAGAACCACCCATTAGGCAGTTTTAGAGCAAATCTTATATTATCTTAAAGAAGCTCCAGGACGTGGTATGCTATATGGTAATCATGGCCATTCTCATATTGAATGCTTCTCAGATGCGGATGGGGTAGGTTCTAAAATTGATCAAAGATCTACAACTGGATATTTTGTCTTCGTTGGAGGTAATTTGGTATTGTGGAAAAATAAGAAACAAAATGTAGTATCTCGCTCTAGTGCAGAGTCTGAATACCGGTCTATGGCACAATCCACTTGTGAGTTTATATGGATACATCAATTATTATGTGAGGTGGGAATCAATAATTCACTTCCAATGAAGTTATAGTGTGACAATCAAGCTGCGCTTTATATAGCATCAAATCTAGTTTTTCATGAGCGAACAAAGCATATCGAAGTTGATTACCACTTTGTTCGTGAAAAAGTTCAGCAAAACCTGATCTCAACTAGTCATGTGAGAACTGGAGAGCAATTAGCTGATATTTTCACTTAACCTCTAAATGGTCCGACAATTGATTATATTTGTGGCAAGATGGGCATGATTAAAATCTATGCTCCATCTTGAGAGGGAGTGTTGAAGATATGTAAAGATTTGATATTGTAGATATTAGGAAAGATTAGATTTGATTTGTTTTGATTATAGTATTATATATTAATTAGATAATAGATTGATTTAGATTAGCATGATTTTAGGATTTAAATTAGGTTATACTTGTGTATATATATTTGTATATTGTGTAGTCCAAAGATATATTTTCTCTCCCTTTCTTCTTAGTTTTTCAATTTTCTTTCCAGATAAATAGTTTTACCAGCTTGCATGGGATTGTATCTCTATATAAGTATGATTGGTATTATACCACGTCTGAAGTCTAGCAAACATGGAATAACACTTTTTGATAATTCAATTGGGCACTAAGGATTGATGCAGAGAGTTTTAAACACTTTGTCTGCCCCTTTGGAGCCTCCTGGGGAATTCGTTGCTTTTCAATAGATCTACTATTTGTTTCTTCCTGTATGTCTTACTGCTTTCTGGTGATGTCAGGTGCACGGTTTGGTTTTGCTTTGGATGAAGAGTTGAGAAAAGCTGCTTCTGATGAGGAAGTCAAAGCTGCTATTGCAAATAAAATCAGCAGAGAACGTATTGGTCATGAAGTATGTTCATACTGCTTGTCTTTTAAGTCATTTTTTTTTTCTTTTCTTCAAAAAAAAGTCAACTGTTCTATGACAACAGATTATTTTGATGCATGATCTAACTTAATCTTTTTCTTGTTTCATATTTGATTACGCAGATTGATCTTATGGTATCTGGCAATCAACCGGTGAAAGCAATGACCTATGTTTCTGATTTGCAGCTTTTTGGTGCCGTGTTCAGTCTTCCTTTGGAGTTTGAGCCTGAAATTCCCGATAGATATGATAGGTTTTTCTCTTTTCATGTTACCTTCTGTTGGTGATGATCGTGTTTCATTATAGGAGCATTGAGCATGGGCTTGTTATGCATTTCTTAAGTGAGTACAAACTTATGAAATCAAGTGATTTAATTGGGCTAGACAGATAGGGCCGTAATCATTACTGACCGAGTGTATCTCTGGTATCACAAATTCTTAGTCATCCTACAATTTTTGTTTGATTTTCACCTTAATTAATCAGTTGTCTAGCCTTTTGACTTTTATCACCATTCTTGTCCATTTTATTTCCCTTCCTAATCTAATGTCATGTTTGTTAGATGTTTATTGTATTTGGCGATTCTTTAATTTGTTTGAGGAGGGAGGAGATAATGAATTAAATATCTTTCTGAATGCTCCTTGATGAATGAAATGTAATACAATAAAGAGGTCATTGGAAGTATGGAACTTCTTTTAGTAGAATTTTCCCAGTTATGTAGGTCAAGTGCTCAAGTTCCAGCTGCTATGAAATGTATGACCAGCAAAATATAAAATAAGATATCAATTCAAGCCTGCATTTAAGATCACTAGCATTGAGCACACACAATTGCACACACATATTATATGGAGCATACTTATTGAAATGGTAATCATATATAATTTATGCATTTTTTTGCAGTAGTTTATTTGTAATTTTATGCTTTTATAATCTGGGTTGAATAAATTGCAAATCCAAAAAGTGGAAGGGGTCTTGTGTTCACGTAATAAAAATGGGAGGACTGTTGGGGTCATTACAATTTGGTCTCCTAACTGCCACTTGAAAGTAGGAGGGTGGCTTCCAATTTTAATATTGTTTTGGTTTATATTTTGGCTGAAACAATGTAAGTGCTAGTTAAAAGATGTGGAATAGGTTCTTTGTCTTGGTTTAAAAATTGGGAGGACTTTTGTAGTCACAAAGATTCGGTCTCCTAAGCACCTTGTTCAAGGGTGGCTTTGGTGCATTTGGATTGTCAGTATAGTACACACATTATTTCTGAACATATTTTGTGACCACCTTTTTACCTCACATCACATAAAGATAAAAGAGCTATGGTGCATAATAGGAAAAAAAAAATTGCAAATAATTTTTCAATCCTTATGGACCCTTTCCATTTAATATAGTATTGACAACGATAAATTAGTGACAATTTCTGCCTATAATGTTGTTGAAGAATGGCTCTCCTCTTCCTTAACTCGTTGGTCAGACTTCTTCTTTATATGAAAATTGTTGGTATAAAAGTCAAATATCATCATGTGTGTAGAAACTGTAATGTTTTTTGTTCCTGTGATGATGATGTGTCACTGAACATCTGGAGTGTTATCTTGATACTACTGACATTCTGCAGTTGATTTAGTTGTAAAATGTTGCACTCCATTAACCCTGATTTTCTTAAACTGGTTTAGTTTGGCATTTCAGTTCTTGTTATGAGCTGGTTTTGGTTGGTAAATCTTTGAATGCATTCAAAACTGTTTGTGAATTCCCACAGCACTCCCAATCCTTGCTGAGTGTATTTTTTTTTGGTGGTTGTTGCTGTTGACATCATACTGGTAGTTAATGTTTTGTGCACCTTGAGGACTATTTCTATACAATGTTCGGTGTGTCTTGCTCAAGTTTATAATAGGGCCTACCCTGTAGTCGCAACTTGAGAGTTTTCTCAACAATACTACTTTTTTCATTTATTACCGCGTACTGAGCAGTGTTTTCTTCTTTATTGCTTTTTTGGCATTCTTTTATTTTTTTATGTTGACTTATTTATGTTATTTTCTCATGGTTAGTGTTTATTTTCTTTCAGGGTTTGTGTTGCTGACTTTGATTCTGCTTGGAGACTTTTGGAAGCAATTGGTTGCCCTTTCAGTGTGAGTTACACATATCTCACGTCAAGTTAAATATTATCTACTTTTCGACCTGTTAGTCTCGCCTTTATACCTCACTTGTAAGTTGAATATACATGGTGGCAATTCATCTGTTCTTGATATGGCCTGCCCAAATGTACCATTATACTTTTGTTGGGTGAGAGTGGGAGAGAGTTTATAGAATAGAAAATCCTATGCCAAGATGCAAGAGAGTGCTTCCATTTGTTGATATTGAACAGTTGCAGACCCATATGTTGTGATGGAGGTGTAAAACCGTAAGTAGGGAACACAGTGAATAAGCTATGCATACTTAATTTAGATACAAAACAAGTTCATATGTTCTTTTTCCCGATAAAAGGGGCTGACATTTAAAAGAAAGAATTTAGTTAGAAATTTTGTTTCACTATTGTACTGTACTGCTTTCAATTTCTGTCTGCTGAGTTGGCTCTGGAAACTAATCATTCTTGTATGAATTACTCTGTTTATGTCATTCAGTGTTCGATGGTAGGTATCAGACTAACATTTGTGCTTCTATGTTCAGTCTGCTTTACCTTTCTTTGCTTAAGGTATCATTTTAGGTTTGTAATGTGTATGCTGCTTATTGGATTCAGGCAGATCAACAGCGGCTGTTTCTGTATGCTGCTTTGTTTCTTCCATTTAGAGAGAATGTGTACAAAGAAAAAAAAGCTAAAAAGGTAGAGTAATTTCTTGATATTCTTCTTAATTACTGTCTATCCCTTTTTATGCATTTGTTGGGTACATTAGCACACGTTATGCTGCATTTGTGTTTGTCAAAGATAACCAAATGATTAAGTGAATGTCTAAAGGTATTTTTTTCACTGCACATTGGAATCTTCCTCCTTTTAAACTTTGTTTTTATCACCTTCAAAGCTGTTTGATAAACCGTTTCTCGTTGATGTGAAAAGAGTCTCCATAAACATGAGTTTTTGCCAAACTGCTGTGGTACTGTCGTGGTTTTTCTGAAATTGATCATTTGTGGAAAGACCTCATTGTTCCCTTTACTTTTATTTAGCATCTTAACTGCATGCAAGAAATCCTTTTCTTTTTTTAACCGGTTCATGTCATTTGAAACTGAAGCTCAAATATCTAACAGATTCCAGTTGTCAGTTACATCATTCGCAATTCTCTCAAGCTAAAGGCCAGTGATGCTGAGATGGTAAGTTGTTATTCTTTTAATTAATATATATATATATAGATATATATGAATGTGTATAATGGTGAAATATTAACTTCTTTGCTAATATATTAATACTAGATACAAATCATTATAATTTCTCAAAGAATAGAACTTTCGCGCATATTGGTTGAATTCGTCGTCAAACAATTTATAGAAAATGAAAACTTTGAAAATTTTATGTAAGAATGCTTGAAGGGCGGCAGAACTTTCCTTTCTGCTTCTAACTGCTAAAATAAAAGTGTTTTAACTTGCTATATCTAAATGGCTAATTCTTGTGGTTGAATAAATCTGTTAGCTGATGCTTCTCTAATTCCTTGCTTGTGGACACCATGATGCTTGTAGACTATATTCGATTTATTTATTTTTTGCAGGTCATAAGCTTGCATATCGCAACAAAAAAGTTTGTGTCCTTGATTCCTTTTGTAGTATCCAAGGAGGATATACAGATTCTTGAAGTTGATTGGAAAAGAGAAATAATTGATGTCCCTTTTGCTTCAAAACTTAGAATATTGGCTGGTAAATAACTGTTTCCTGCAACACAATTTTGCATGATTTTCGGCATCTATAATATATGATGATGTTGCTTGTCTTTGAATTGTATATTTTAGTCTGAACTGATGTTACTTGCAAGTTCAATATTTTGATAATGTTTACTCACATTGGTGTTCAACGAAAACAGATTTTAGCTCAACTGACTGTCACATAATCAAGATTTGATAAGTCTCATTCATATTTCAAAATGTACTGGATGACTTTAAACTACTAATCCTAATGATAGTTGAGAAAAATTGAGGATTGCAGTCTAAACTATTAATACTACTTTCTGCAGTCTAAATTTCTGATAGTTGAAAAAAATTGAGGATTGCATTACATAGAAGTTTCTAAGGTAGAGGATGTGAAGTCTGCTGAAAATCTAGAATTCTTGAGTTATGCTTGAATAGAAATGAGTGTGCAAAACTTAGTGTTGATAGAACATTTGATCCTAAAGGAAATGGTTATAAATGGTTCAGAAACTGTGCTGCCATTACAAACCTGCATATTGCCTGGGGTTGCTTATCCATAAATATAGATACACTTGCTGGGTATCCTAATTGACCAATCTAGATCGACCTATTATATTCACTAAGCTATTTCAATTGGTGCTTGCTTCAGAAATGATGCTGGGTTTGTTGCCATCTTTTCATTCCCCAGCCTCTCTTCATGTTTTAGGACTTCTCGGGTGATAATGGTTTATTCGAATGAGCAGTTGAGCTTCTCACACTTTACTGTGATTTCTGCTCTTATTGAAACCTAGGGATTCATTTCCTGTATTTGAAGGTAGTTTGGCCATGCTGCCTCTGCAACAACAGAAATAACACATGAAAAAGATTTTTGGTGTTGATAGGATGTGCTTAAGTATCTAGAAGTATTTAAGTTTATTGTTGGTTCAGTAATATCTGCACAAAACATTTTGAGAATGTGCAATGGTCTTGAAATTATTGTGAGGCTTCTGGATTAATTTTAAAAAGAACTAATACCTTTATTATGAGATGCAACACAGCTTTTTTTTTTTTTTTTTAATAAATATTCGGAGGGTGGAGGATGGGGGAACATGTTAGATGATAGACAATAACTTATTCTAAAAAATTCTCAGGAAGACATTATTTGAGTGGATGAACGATCTACCGGTTCTTCAAGTATAGTGCCCTTGACTTTTGCAGCCAATGCTTGAGACATGTGAGATAACAGATAATAGTTTATTGTAAAAAATTCTCAAGAAGACATTATTGGTGTGGATGAATGATCTACCGGTTCTTCAAGTATAGTGTCCTTGACTTTTGCAACCAATGCTTGACATTTACTTCAACTTGCAGGATTACTCTTACGAGACATTAAAGACTTTTGGCGGGCTGCATTACTGCTTTCTATGCTGTTATACCCTACAGATATTTATTCTGCCACCAGTTCTTTTGAATTTGACAAGAGGAGAGAAGTATATAACATGGTTGAGGAAGCAATTCTGGGAAAAGGTATGGTTGCTCTCTGTTGTTCATGTTCTTATTTATGGATTAGCTTAAATATATAAATTTTGGTGAAGATGAAAATGTGCTTGTTCTTGTGGTTGAGTTCTCTAATTCAGCATCTATGTGTTTGAGATGAGATTTTAAGCTTGGATAGTTCATATGCTCAGATCTCTAGCTATTCTTTTCATTTCATTTGTGAAAGTGGGTATGCGAAGTATTCTAGTTAGAATCTCAAAACTTCTGTGACTGCAATACAACTGTGTACACTGTCCTTGATCTGCTTTCATCTCTGCTCTTGGTTGCTCTCGTCCCCCGTAAGGTCTCATGCAACTACCAGCCAATGAAGTGTTTTTTCTCCCTTACCACTCAAAAGTCTACCTTACCATAGAAGTACAAAAGTGTTCATTGAGTTGATTGTGCGTTTACAACCAAGTAGCTGTGGTTGGTTGGTGCTACCAGTAGTTTCTAGAAGCTTGTAGGACCAGTAGTTCTATCACTTGAGATGATGAGTTGGAATCCGAGGATTGTGTATCTGTCTAGAATTCTGCATTATGTAGCCTGCATTTGCGACTGGCTTGCCGTAGCTGTATATTGTGGTGTTTCCAGAATTCTTGGCCTTGAAAATATATTCCTCATGGTTTGCAGTAGGTGAAGGTTAAGGGGTTCTAAATAGATCTAATTAGGATTTTGGCATGCCAACTTGTTTCTTCTTTAAACTTTATTGGAACAAAGTGAAATTTTCCCAAGCCTGGCAGTTTAGTTGGCAAACTTTGAAAGAATTAGGGTAAACTTTGTACTGCCAATTGGCATTTGGCTTATTATTTGGAAAGTTCTGGGGAAAGTTTCACTGGTGGCTATTGCTGACAAGTCATACTTTGAACTATTTTACTTAGGTTTTGCAAGAGCCAGATAGGACTGACTTTGTTTTACAATGTTGGATAGTTAGACATGTAGGTATATGACTTTTGACATAAAAGTAACTATTATTGGCTGTTGGAAGTCCACGAGTGTTTAAAAAAATTCTGTGTGCAAAAAACAGTGGAATTTATGCTTGGAGCCAGAATGTTTGGAACATTTTGGAGTTTGTATGAGCCTTACCTTTTGGTGTCAAAGCAACTTATGTGGGATTTTAAAATTTCTTCCCTTCCTCTGCTGTTCAATTTTTAGCATAATCTCCTGAAGCTATATCAACTCAAACTTATTATTCAAGTTTTTGGCTGCCAAACCAAAACCAAATTGCTGGAAGAATTTTTTGGAAGGTTTCTAGCCTCATACATGTTTTCTGCATCACAAATATGATTTTCGGGATAATTAATTCTTTCTTTCAGCATTTTCTCATGAAATTATTATATGGGTTGCAGAACCTTGTGAGTTCTATGCTTATTTTGTGAATTAAATTATGAGGCCTCTGCATGTCATTATGAGTAAAATTCTCTTCTTATCGCATTGTCAGATGTGTAGAAGCTGAAACTGTTTGATCATTTCTGCTGAGAAGATGAACATTTGGAGCATCCTTAATTTTTGTCTTTGGATGTTGTAGGGTTTAGGGTTTGACTTTAATGCTTTGAACCATAAAGTATAATCCTCTGCATAGTTTGGATAGTAAGCTTTTGCACTCTTTTTCTAAAAAGCATGCACTTGTCGGATATATTTGCATCTAGATCTCCCCATTTTCTTTTGAGTTTTTTACTCTGAAAGTGAAAAGCAAATTGTGAAGTATTAAATCATACAAAGAGGGTTTCTTGAGAATGCTTTGAATGGTCTATAAGCTTGGGCACTTCTGCTAATAACACTTTACTTAAGCAATGCAATAGATTTTTTAGAAGCCACTTCTATAGTTCTGTTTCTATAGTTCTGTCTTGGCAGAATTACTTGCTTATCTGTAATAATTTTTTACTTGTCCTTCTGAGAATGGCTGCTTCTTCCCTGCCATCTAGCTCATTATCCAACCTTCAAAAATTTACATGACTTGAAAAAGGGTTGGGAGAATGCTTGAATGGCAACCTGACAGTGAACTTGGAGTTTTTTCATTGTCTCATAACTTAATGCTATTCTCTCTTAGGTTTTTGTCTCTTGTGTGGATGCAGGTCTAGATAAAGTTTGGGAAGTAAAACCGTTGGTGGATGGAAAGGAGATTATGAGTATTTTGGATCTTAAGACTGGCGGACCACTTGTCAGAGAATGGGTAAATCATCATAGTTTTGAAGTAAAGCTATAGAATACATTATAGCTGAAATAATTGAGGTTTCTGCCAATTTGTTCTTTGCAGCAACAGAAGCTGATTGAGTGGCAGCTTGCCCATCCCTTTGAATCTAAAGATAAATGTATTCAATGGATGAATGAAGCATCCTCCAAGCGCGCAAGATTGGAGTAACTGTTGCAGTACTCATGGATGCAAATATCTGGCTCCTGTTTGCTCAGCTGTGTGCTTGGTGTCATATTTGAAGATTGAAAACTGTGGTTCTTGCTGCCAATTTTACTTCCCCTGGCAGCCTGCGCATAGTAGGGTCACAATATCTGTAGATCATTGTTAAGTTGTACAGCATTTTCCTTCTGAAGGCATATGATTAACAAAGTATATATCCCCAGTGATACCAGATAATAACCTAACCTCTCCAGTGCGCTATTATAGGAGATTGCTAGAAAGATAGATGAAAATTTCTCCCAAAACCGGATATGGGGTAGGTGCGTCGCTAGCCAGTGGTGCAGAATTTTTGTACAGTTTAGGAATGCATGCTTTTGCTGAAAATCTATGCTTTTCTGGTAAAGAGATGGAAAAATTTATACTTAAGAGTTCAATTCTTCACTCACTCCGAGTAATTTCCTTTTCTGGACTGATTTTGTTCTTTAACGCCAGTTGCGGACTTAACATTCTAACCAGGGGGCCAGCCCACCACCCAAAGTAACATTCTAAAATTATTTGGACTGCAAGAAATTCACCTGCATTCCATTTTAAATTTGGTTGTGGATGAGTTCCTTGATCAGAATTTTAAATTCCTCTTCTCACACCCTTTCTCATTACCAAATTATTAGGCTTAGGATTTGAACTTGAATCAGATAGCGGGGTGAACTGTAAAATTCTTTTCCTGATCACTTGACCAACTCTGATGGTTATTTTTAGTTGACGTTATTTTAAATTATTGGTTTTTGGTAGTTGATCCCCTTTTACTCCCCCTTTCTTATGTGTTCCTCAAAGAGATGAGGATAGCTGCACGTTTTATATGAAGTTAATTTTAAACAGTAGGAATGAAAAATGAAGATAATAAAAAAAAATGAGAACATGATCTTACAGTTCACTTTAAACTCAAAATAATTTTCTTGTTCCCAATTGTACAGCTTCAAGGAACTTCATCATTTACGTCTTCAAATTATATCTATTATGCAAAAAAAAAAAAAAAAAAAAAGGTTCATGACTATTCAAAACATATACTGCAACCAGAGTAACTTAAAACAAAATTAACTGAAGATAGAAAAACAAGTTACAGGCATTAGCAACTACTTTCTTTTAATTGATGTAAAAGCATTTTAACGTTCAGTTTAGAAATTCTTTTTTCGTTGAGAAATTATCGTTCAATTGTATGAATCTTCCAATGGTGGATTAAAAGCTTTATTCCACTCTCAAGCTGCAGAGAAAATTCGAAGAAAGTTGAGAACGAACTATTAGAGTCTTGAACAAGGTTTTTCTTTCTTATTCTTTATATACTTTGTCTACGTGCTATGGTGCTTAGTTAATGAGTTGCATCCACCAACCTTATTCTTCAGGTTATGGCAGTTGGCTGAAGCTATTCTTCTAAGCTCGTTGAAATGCAATTTCTTTTTCACTGTATTTAATGAAAAAGAAACTGCGTCGTCTTGTTTGTTAGAACTTAATAAAACAAAATGAAGAAAATGGCATATCTGCTATTTGTCTACTAGCCTTTTGTTGTGGTTACTGGAGTTGGATAGTTCGTGAGATATCAAGGGTATATTTCTATTTTTGTAGCAAACACATTCTTCAGGTGTGGTTCCTTAATGGATTGAGAGTGATAGGTGATTCCCCCTCAACAAATGCCAGGTTGTGCCTTATCTGACTGGGAGACAAATGGATGCAGGAGTTGCGCTTTGGTTGAAAATACATGAGCATATTCAAACTAACAAGTCAACAGATCCATTGGGATTTGATCCAATGGTCTAGGAGAGCTTTTTGGAACTCACTAAGTCGGGGTTCAAATCGTACATTGTGCATTTCAGGAAGCAGAATCAGAAACCAGATCCGTGGAATGTCAACTTTCATTACATATTACTGGAATTAACCATGCTCCAGATGTTCAGCCTAACCTTCTCATATTCTTCTTCAGAATCAACAAAATTTTTTTTTTGTATCTTTCAGGAAAAAGAATTTTGGACATATGTCCTGATTGATTAATAAATTACTTTAGTTTCTACTGTTAGTTGTCTTTGCCTTACTATCATTACTTTAACATTTGCTACACATTAGTATTTTTATTAGGCGAGACATAAAAACTCCTTTTTTTTTCATTTAACCCTGAAATTCTTAAAGTAATTGTGTTCATTATGTAAATATTTGGATGGTTGGTTGGTTCTGATTAACTGTCCAAGTAACCCTTGAACATTGCTTTTTTCTGCAGTTTTCATGTTCAGCGATGGAAAGTTTTTGAGCTTTATCAACCGTAACCATTGGACATCTTGGTGGTGATTTATTTGATGAGGTATAAGATGTGGCCTAATTAATCTTGTAATGATTATCTTTTTTATTATCTGAGGTATGCTATGCGTGATTTTGTACAGAGAATTGTTGATTGGCTTGCTGAGAACTTCAAGAGAAATGAAGGAATAGAGCTTCTGATAGATAAACAAGCTCTTCAACGTCTCACAGAAACAGCTGAGAGGGCAAAAATTTGAAGAATTATGTTCATATTTACTAGACAGGTACCAATTTTTTAGCTGACTGATGGGGATAGATAGCTGTTCAGGTTTTCATTAATTGATAAATTTGGTATGCTCCTGATGAATGCGGATATCTTCTGTAGTATAAAGACGCCCGTTCATATTTTGTTTGTACGCAGTACTTAGCCTGGTGGTATAAAGTTTTATTAAGCCATTTATTTAATTTGGGAATGGTTTTAGGCTGGGTTCTTAGCAGGGGGTGGTAGTGACGCTGTGATCATGGATGAAGTGGACGGACCGGCCGAGTGATCACCGGAACTTGGATCAGAGACACGAGGATTGGCGGCGGCATGCTTAAAATTGGACAACTTGGACTGAGTCAACTTGGAGACTAAAATAATTTGAATCGCTTACCGTTTTGACTTGGATGGTAATCAAGAAAAAACATATTTCTGCTTGTCTAAAGGAAGAAATTGTGACAAAAATTACTAGAAAACTTATCAAAAACTTTGTGTTTGTTTTTTGGAAGCCATTGAAGAAAGTGAAACGATTTCATGGAATTGGTTTTCTCAGGTGAAATGATTTGATGGAATTGGCTTTCTAATACTTGGTGAAGTGAGAAATAATTGAGAAGGAGAGAGAACCAGCGACAGAGAGGTGAGGCTGGGCATTGCCCTTTTTGGACGAAAAATTCAGATGCTGTAGCTCTTTTACAATTGCTTTAGCTTTCATATAATCTTGTCATTTATGCAAAAAAAATTCATTTAATAGTAACTATTTTTTAGAGTTAAACATCTAGTAGTAACTCTTGCTCATAAGCAAGAGAGAAGAATGATTATGATGTCAACAATATTTTTTAATAGCCATTTAATTCATACTGACGATTAGCAATTAATAATTCAGAATTTTTTTTTTAGTAGAATTGCACTTATAAAAGGTTTTACATTAAAAATTTCAATTATTACATCAAAATATGCATTTGATGTGTTTCCAGCCCTGGATGATTAACGACTCGGCTATTGCATGAAATGACCTATTTGCTAGGATTGCATCCAATTAAACCGAACCCACACCAATGACTCGGCCATCATGTAGCACTTGATTCCTCTATTGACGTGGCGCCTTAGAGCAAAATGCATTTGAATCGGGAACCTAGAAGGAGTTAACAAAGTTGGCTCGGTTGGATAAGAATTGATCACTTCTTTATAAATGGTCACACTGATGTGAGATCTGTATTGGTGAATAATTTATAAAAATCTTTATAAATAATTTATAGTTTCGGAGGCATGCCATAACTCATGGTAGTGATTGGAATCAAATCCACTCAAAATTTTTTTTATAGCAAAAACAAAGAAAAAGAAAAAGAAAAAGAAGAAGGCAGACAAACTTACCACTAGACCACTTTACTCCTTTGGGACATGAGATGATGCTATATTATATTAGAAAAAATTTAGATATGGTAAAAGAAAGAAAGAAAATTCATAAAAAGGGCACGAGTTTCACCAAATTTATAATTGGGGAATGGTGCACTATGCATCTAATATTATACAAATAAAGTTTGTAGCTCAGTCATGAAATTGTCTTGCTTCTACACTACTTCCACTCACTTCTACCCTTAGATTGTTTACCCAGATTAGTTCGTGTAACTTGATAAGTACTTGTTGTGCATAGTTTTATGTAGTTATTTATGTGTATTTACTGTGTTTTCATTTAAATTTGAGTCGAATAATTAGGTTTTAGTTAAGTTTTGCATTTTGTGATTAATGTGAAGAAAATTAGAGTTTTTTGCCAAAATAACTCTCTTTCCTAAATATATACCCAAAATAGCCTAATTTTAAAATTTATTACTTTTATAATTTTTTTGTCACACATGTTGCGTACCACGATTCTCTCTTTGAACCTTCTTGCATTTTTTTCTTCCCATATCTTTCCCTTGTCAAGGGTATGAATTCGGAGGAGCCGATATTTATATTAACAAAATTTAAAACTTTGGTATCATCCTTAAAATTTTTTTAGTGGATGAAAATCTTCTTCTCGAATAGACAATTTCAAGGTAAACAAAGATTATTCTATTGTCTTTTTTATTGTGTAGTTTTTGCAACATTCCTATGGCCTTCAAAAAATTTTGAATAGTGATAGTTTAATAATAATTTCACACATTTCACACACCGTGTGTTTGATAAAATGTCTAGGAGGAAAACTACAAGAAACGATAGATTTATACCCATCATGTTTGATTTCCACCACATATATGAGCATGTTCATTTCTATCGCTTCTCTGTCAAATGATCAAATAATCTCATGTACTTGAAATAGTTTTCCACATATATTCAATATAAATTGGTGGTTTGTGTTATTTTTGAGCAACTTTAGAATTATTTTAATTACTTTAGTAGATTTCATTTGCATTACATGAAGTTTACCGGTCCCCATTTTGCTTTAAACTACTAGTAGTTTTTTTATGTGGTAGTATTATAAATAACATGTAAAAGATGGCCTTACTAATTACGGACAAATGCTGGTAGTTCTTGTATTAAATAGTATGACAATATTTAGTTAATTAATGACCATTTTTAAAAAAATTTTGTGCAAGCGGCCTAGCTGAATTTTGTAGTCAGCTTGACTACTTTTTGTAAAAATTCAGATAGTTCTTGTATTAGATAATGTGACAGCATTTACATAATTAATGAATTTTTTATTTTGTGCAGGCAGTCTAGTTGAATTTTGTAGCTTGATTACTTTTTGTAAGAGTTCTTTTGAGGAAGTTGGAAGGATAACAGAAACAATTACAATAGTCTTGACTTTTTTAAAAACTTTTTCTTGCTATTACACACAATTATCAATGCAATTTTTGTATTTTCCAAATTTATTTTTGAAACAAATATGCACAATAGGTTTGATACGTTTCAAAAAAAAAAATGCA